ACTCCAAAACCCACACCCGTAACCCTCATGCTGCCAACTGCAGCCAGGTCCAGAGTCACCATTCTGCCTCTTTCCTCCCTCACCCCCTTCACCCAGAGCTCTCCAGGAGCCCAGCTCCGCTGATAAGCAGCTTTGAAATCTATACTTAAAGTATCAAGGGGTAATGGTGGACATTGAGGACTTCTCTGCTGGAGACCTGGATTCTGGCCCGAGATCTGCCACTGACCCCCTGCAGGATCTTGGACCAATGTCAGCCCAGTATCACCATCATTTCAGTAACATAGTCAGCAAGCTTTAAGGAACCTCTTCGTCAGTATGTTCTAGGAATTTGTGGAACTGGCTGATTCTCCTTTTAGCTCCAGAGGAGATTTGGGCTCTTCAAAGCCAAGTCAAGGCCAGGGTCTCCTTCTCTTTAATCCCTGTTCCTAGCACTGGGGCAGGCCCAGAGTAGATATTCAGGAAATGCAGTTTGAATAAACAGGTAGCCAGTTGGCTCCTTTTCAGAACTGCCTGACAGCTGCTGTCCTGGGCCCTTCTGGGTGTTTGGATTTCTCAGCCCTGGCCACCTTCTACCTAGCTGGCCCTCCCCTGCAAGTGGCAGAGCCTGCCATCGCTGGCAGCAGCTCACAACCCTGTGTGCCAAGACCACAGCCTCTGGAATCCTCAGTGGAGCACAACATGGGGGGATCAGGCCCTGCATCTCTTCTCAGCCCCTCCGGGTGGTAGTTCTCAGGGCCCAGCTTAGGTTACTCCCAAGTTGGAGAAGTTACCTTCTAAGGAAGGAGATACTTTCACAATCAATCTGAAATTTTACTTATCCCTCAGTGTTGCCTGTTCCATGAAGCCATCCATCCTTGATTCCCAGAGACACAGGTCCCTCCTATAGCACATAGTCCACCCCTCTACTGTAGCATCTGTATGGTGACTATTTCTCCTTCACCACATAAGCTGCTGGAAGGCAAGGACCCCACCTCAGATATCCTGGGAGACCCTGTGGCCCATCCAGGTTTGAGTGAAAGTTCTCCCTTCTGGGTGTGGTGCAGAGGACACAGCTGTGATCCACTCCAGGAGGTCTTGTCAGCCCACTTCTACTCCTAATGATAGTAAAAGTAGCTGCATATTTACTGAGTGGCTACTGTACCAGGCATGTACCTCTTCACTATCTCTGATCTTCTCTGCAGCTTTGCAAGTTTGATAGTATCATTCCCATTTCATAGATTACGAAATGAAGATTCTGCAACCTTGCCCAAAGTCATACACAGAGCACAGAGCAGACCTGGGACTGTTTGACCCTGAAACATTACTCTTTCTGAACTGCCTGCTACAGCCTTCCAGTTAAGCTAACCTGTTCTGCATCCCATGGTGACTTACCCTTGTCTTCAGTGTGGTGTCACAGGATTTAAGCTGTGGCTTACGGGCTCCCTTAATTTGGGAGAAGTGCCCCTTCCAAGTATGTGAAAATCTTCCAATTTTTTAGGGACTTTTGGCAAAGCAAAACCTCCACCTGGATTTGGCTCTGCAAACAGAGAAGCACCTCTGTTGCTCAGGGGATGTTGTTCTACTTCACAGTTCTTTGTTTATTGGGGCTTCCCTGGCGGTCCAGTGATTAAGACTCCACGCTTCCACTGCAGCGGGCACGGGTTCGATCCCTGTTCGGGGAACTAAGGTGACACGTGGCACAGCAAAACAAACAAACAACAACAACAAAAAACAGATGTTTGTTTATTAAGCACGTATGTAACAGAATGACTACCTGTGGGGCAGGTAACAGGCCCTTGAGTAGAAGTCAGGAGACCCATGGTGAAGCCCAGCTTTGTACCTGACTCGCTGTGGATGTCAAATAACTCCTGTCTCCTTTCTGCACCCTACTTTCCACAGCAGAATGTAAAAGATTAAACAGGGTTGGTGATTTTCAACTTTTTAATTTTTTTCAGCACTAATACCCATTTCTCAAGTCTCTCGCTGAATCCTAAAATTTAAAAAAAAACAAAACATAAAAGTGGAACCGCCCTAGTAAGGCCTCCCCCTCACCACTCTCTAACCCCCACCCCCAAACCCCCAGTCTCCTCCGGGTGAATTGGACTGCAAGGCCCCTAGGCAGCCCTGCCCTTTCGCTTCTGATAAGCAGAAGGCATTTGCTTCCTCAGCCTTCTAAAGTAGATGTGGGTTTGAAGCCAGTGGAATGCAGCTTTGGATTCCAGAAGCGGGGGGGGGGGGGGGGGGGGGGCCTTTTAAAAGTAGGTGTGGGTGGGGGGGGGGGGGGAAGCAGAGTTGGGTTCAAAAGAGGGGGGGGGGGGGGGGGGGGGGGCCTGCTGCTATAAAGGTTCTCTGGAAAGTGAGTTAGAGACCTAAAGACCTACCTTCAAAATATGATGTGACTCTAGAATGACATTGAGCAAGTCAGTTAACCTCTCTGAGCCTCCATCTCCTTATCATTAAAAGTTAGAACAATTCTCTGCAATTAAATGGGATAATATATATGTGTAAAGTACCTAGGGCAGTGCCCAGCACACAACATACACTCAGTATATTTTTCTCTGATACCCTCCATCTCTCCAAGGCAGAGATAGTATAGGCAGAGCAACGCCTACTGAATCAAGTGTTTATCAGTAGTATGGGGTATGGTAGGTAAAACCCTGCACTCATTGTCTACAACAAACTCAAATTCTGGCTCAGTCACTAGCTGTGTGGTCTTTGGGCAAGTGACTTAACCTCTCTGAGCTGGGCTAATCCTTGGCAGACCTAAGAGCAAAATCTTACACAAAATGGGCACTCAGGACTTTGTATCTGCTAAATGATTGCTCATATGGAGTTGGGACATCTTTGGGGAGGCCTGGCTTGCCCCTGGGTCAGATGATGTGGCTGGCCCAGGGGTGTGGTGGTGGAGTGGATCCTGTGTGGCTCCTGATAACCCCAACCCCGCCAAGGAGGAGGATCAGATGAAACAGGCCCCTGAGCTAGTTGGGAGGGAGCCAAGGGGCCTGGGAGGCTGGAGGACAGGGGGAGGGGAAGGCATCGTCAGTGTACTGAAGGACCCCCGCACCAGGCCCAGAGAGTGTGCAGCCGCGGGTAAGTCCCTGCCCCTCTCTGGGCCTTGAGGTCCCATTCATACAAGGAGAGATTGGTGGCTCTTTGTTTTCCCCCTACTTGGCTGTTAGGCACCTCCAAAAGGAAGCGTCTAAAACGGAGCTCCCCACCTCCTCTCTCTCCAAGCTCACCCCCCCGCGCCACCCCCCCCCCCCCCGCCCTCTTCCTGCCTGTCCCTGTCTCCGCTGCCCTCCAGGTCAAGCAAGCTAGCGCATCCGCCCCAAGAGACTGCCTCTTGGCTGCCTTAGGATGGCCCCACCTCCCTACCCCTCTCGCCCCACAGCCTCTGTCCTCCTCTGCTTCTAGTCAGCTCTGCTCAGGATGCAAGAATTATCTTCCTAAAGCCAGGCTCTGAGCAGGCCCCTGCCCTGCCCCCTGCTCAGAAATCTTCCCTGTCCTAGGTCTGGCCGCCCCTCCCCTCCAAACACACATCCTCGATTGCCTCTTCAGTCCTCAGAGCAGTCCACAGCCCGTCCTCCTGGCCCCTTCTTTCCCCTCCGGAGGGAACATTCTCCCCTTTCCTTCTGCCAAGCCGAGCCCACTCATCCTGCAAAACCGAGTTCTAGTCCTGTCTTCTTCCAACAAGCTTCTGACCTCTTAACTCACATTGGAAGTCATGGTTCCTTCATGGTAGGCTCGGCCTCTCCGAGATGTGCTCAGTCAGCCCGATCCCCTGGGACTGCGGTGCCAACTGGATGAGAAATCATGTGTGCGAGTGCCCAGCGTGGCCTGGCACATAGTAGGTGCTCAAGAAACAAACGTTAATGCCCCAGCTTCCTTCTTACACCCCTTATTTGGCATTTTGGGCATATTGTCTTGTACTTCATGTGGGTAAATGTATTTACTGTGTGGCAGAGTGCTGTGCAGGAGGCAAACATGAACTAAGTGTGGACCCTGCCCTGCCGAAGCTCCGCCTACTGGGACGAGATAAGATAAGGCCACAGAGAACTGGTATATAAGAGAGACTGTGATCTGGGCAAGAAGAGATGCTGCAGGGGAGAGGGAAGGAGGGGCCGCCTGGTGGACAACCTAGTAGGACTTGGGGATGGGGAAGTTGTGGAAAGAGCACCAGCCTCCTAGGGAAAGAGGGTGAGCGGAACGCAGCCAAGTGTGCTTGGGGAGCGGCAGGAGGCTCTCGGGCTGGAAAAGCAGCCTCTGTGGCCACTCCACAGGCATGTCTGTCTGTCTGTCGGCACGGTGCGATTTAATCCTCTTAGTGTGTGTCAAGTGTGTACCAAGGGGTTAACAGTTTTCCCCTAGAGGTAGAATTACAGGAAATTTTTCTCCTTTTGCTTATCTGTACTTTTCTAAAATTTCTGCCATGGCCATGGACATTGTTCATGGAATAGGCAAAGCTTAAGTGGTGGCTAGATCAGGGTTTCTCATAGTAATGTCCAGTCCATCCCAGACTGATTCTTTGATAAAATGCAATGAAAATGAATTAATAGAGGCATGTTTTAAAAAAAGAGACCAAATAAAATACAAACCCAGATTTTATATTATTAGATTCAACTTGCTCTGGAAGTTTCTGAAATTTTCTGAAGTTTCATGGAAGTGCCTACTTATCTTGGTGCACACCGGCAGGGATTGGTGAACCCCACTAGGAGTAGCACTGGGGTAGAGAGCAGAGGAAGCAGGAATCTGGAAAAGCCTGCGGGTATGTGACCACCTCCCGGTGCCAGGGACTACGTCTCATGCGCCTCTTGTCGCCCTCACAGAGCTGAGCACGAGGCAGAGCCCCAAGAACCCTCAGTTCCAGCCACCCGGCTGCCCTCTGTCCCCCCTGCCCACCATGCAGCCCCAGTCAGTCCTGCACAGTGGCTACTTCCACCCACTACTTCGGACCTGGCAGGCAACCACCACCAGCCTCAGTGCCTCCAGCCTCATCTACCCCATCTTTGTCACGTGAGTCCGCAAATGAGCCAGGTCTCTGATCGGCAGGGGGTGGGTTGAGTGTGTGTGCATGCACGTGAACAGAGCAGGTGTCTGTGTTGCGGGGATAAAGTGGGCTGTCAGCTGGAGCTCAAGGTATTGGAAGTGGCCTACTGGGTTAAGGACAGCCATTAAGAAGAAAACAAACCTTGAAGAGAATACAGTCTTCCCATTTGGAAAATAAAAATAACCCTTGCCTTTCATCCTGAGTTTTTGCAACAAGACAGAAGCCAAGACGATGTTTTGTTGGCTGTAAAGTACTATGTACATGTCAGAGGTGGCAGTCATGATCAGTCACGATAGCACAGCTGATACATATTGAGGGCTTACTGTGTCCCAGGTACCAGTATGCTAAGCACCTATGTATATTATCTCATTCCACCCTGACAGTATTCATATGAGAAAAATACGGATATTATCCCTTAGAATGTCATCTCCACGAGGGCAGGGATTTTTGTCTGTTTTGTTCACTGTTGTGTTGCCAGAGCCTAGAACAGTACCTGACACATAATAAGTGCTCAATAAATATTTGTTGAATGAATGAATGAATCGACCCAGGATACAGATGAAGGCCCTGAGGCTCAAAGAGTACCATTTGGCCAAGGTCGCCCAGTCAGTAAGTGGCTGGGATAGCAAGCAAGGACCTTCTGATCTCAGTGTCCAAGTTCTTAACCACTTGACTCCTTCCTAGGAGTACTGTTCTTTGAGTACAGTTGCTTGTTGTCACTGTTATTCTTGTTGTTCCTATTATTATTTCAGGCCCTGGGCTTGGCCAGGCAGGGGAACCAGACACTGGATCCCATCTTCCTCCCACCATCTCCACCTCCATATTCCTTCCGAGTTTCCCAACCATCTCTCCCAGTCACCCCTTCACCACTGGCCCTTCCCACAGCTACCAATCCATAGCCCATCCCCCGCTCTTGCAGGGATGTTCCTGATGACAAACAGCCTATTGCCAGCCTCCCAGGAGTGGCCAGGTAGGAGACGGAGTGGGGAGGGCAGGGTTATGATGGAGGGAGCAATTTCACAGGTGGAGGTGACAGGAAGCAGAAGCAGACCCAGGAGGCAGAAGATCCAGAGAGGCTGACTTCAGCTCAGAAGGACTGTCTCGGGGGGCAGAGTTGTTCCACAACAAAAGAGGCAGCCTCGGTCAGTAATGAGCTACCTGTCACCAGAGGCGCCATAGCAGAGGAACGCTGAACTTCAGATGGGAGGTCAATAACAGAACCTTGAAGGGGCCTTCCACAGCTGAATCCCATAGCTCTGCTACGTGGGGCCTTGGTTTTCCCATCTGTTTGGTGGGTGCATTCCTGCCCCTCCATGTACTGTGAGGCTTGAGCCCTCCTGGTGCCATGTGCACCTTGACTCTTAACAGAGGCACAGGCCAGAGGGGTGGGGGGGACCCTAGCCTGAGACCTGCCTCACTTCAGCCCCTCCATGCAGGTATGGTGTGAACCGGCTGGAAGAGATGCTGAAGCCCCTGGTGGAGGAGGGCCTGCGCTGTGTCCTAGTCTTCGGCGTCCCCAGCAGAGTTCCCAAGGTGACAAATCAGAGGAGGGGTCAGAGGGAAGGGGAGGGGGAGGCTGGGTGAGGATAAGCTGAGGTTGCACACTGATCACACCCTCGCTCCAGCCTTGTGCTGGCCCTGGGGCCACCGGTGAACGGACACAGCCACTGCCCTTGAAACAGCAGCCATGTAGGATCAGGAAGCTAAGTAGGGCTGCAGCTCTGAATGGTCAAGTCAGGTTTCCCTCTGCAAAGTGGGAACAGTCCTCCCCGTGCCTCCTCATCCAGGGGCTGTCGTGGTGATAAAGGAGAGGGCCGGGGCTGTGCCCTGGTGGCTGGCCACTGTGCCTCCCAAAGGCTTCCTGTGATTTTGTCCTTCTGCTTTGTCCTTCCCCTGTCCCTAGGATGAGCGGGGCTCTGCGGCAGACTCCGAGGACTCCCCGACTATCGAAGCCATCCGTCTGTTGCGCAAGAACTTCCCGGGCCTCCTGGTGGCGTGCGATGTGTGCCTGTGCCCCTACACCTCCCACGGTCACTGCGGTGAGCTTCCCTCCTTCCACCAGCCCTGCTGCCACCAGCACTCCCTCTGTGGTGGAGACGGGCCAAAGCCTGGGATGCTCCCCCAAACCCAGCTGTCTGTCCTGCAGGGCTTCTGAGTGAGAATGGGTCGTTCCAAGCTGAGGAGAGCCGCCAGCGGCTGGCAGAGGTGGCGCTGGCCTATGCCAAGGCAGGTGAGTGAGCCACCAGCAGAAATGGGCACCCCTGGGTCAGGGAGGTGGCAGGGTAGATAGGAGGGTCCCAGAGTTCTGAAGGCCACCCTCTGCCCTTTAGGATGTCAGGTTGTGGCCCCGTCGGACATGATGGACGGACGTGTGGAAGCCATCAAGGAGGCTCTGATGGCACATGGATTTGGCAACAGGGTAGGGGCAGGGGTGCAGGCAGCACGTGGGGAGGAAGTAAGAGAGCCTGGACCAGACCTGCCCCCGTGTCTGCACCTCACACAGAGAAAGCAAGGCCCAGAGCTCCAGTGGGACTAGGACACAGACCTCTACTTCCGGCCTGGGTCCTTTCTCTCCCTGTCACTTCACCCTGGGACATCTGGAGGGCTGGCTGAGCCGAGACCCCTATTATCTGCCCATAGGTATCAGTGATGAGCTATAGTGCCAAATTCGCTTCCTGTTTCTATGGACCTTTCCGGTGAGTGGGGATGGGCAGGGGTCTGCTGTTGAGTCCCTGACCCGTTAACCCAAAGCTGGAGCCCACCCTGGTGTCTCTGCTTCCCAGGGACGCAGCTCAGTCGAGCCCAGCTTTTGGAGATCGCCGCTGCTACCAGCTGCCGCCCGGAGCACGAGGCCTGGCCCTCCGCGCGGTGGTGAGTGACCAGAGCGCCAGCCCCACCCGGCCTGTCCCCCTGTCACCTCGCCTCCCAGGCACTGCCCACACCGTAACTCATCCCTTAGGACCGGGATGTACGGGAAGGAGCTGACATGCTCATGGTGAAGCCAGGAATGCCCTACCTGGACATCGTGCGGGAGGTGAAGAACAAGGTGAGCACAGGGCAGAGGCCAGAGGGGGCTCAGGGAGATGAGAGTGTGTCCGCAGATTCTGGGCCTTTGATCGAGGGACTGCAGAATCTTGGAGTGGAGCAGTCTTCCCCAGGAACAGGAATCCCCAGCACCCCCCCTTCCCCTCCCCCATCCCTGTCCCCGCCCGGGAACCACTGCGGGCCTCTGCGCCAGGGCTCGCAGGAGCCTTTGAACAGTTCTGCTTTAACAGCTCGAGGATGGGCCAGGCCGGCAGCAGCAGTGACTCAGGGCTTGGGGCTCAAGACGGTCACACATTGAGCAGGGAGGAAGGGATACTCCCAGAGGCATGCCCACCCCCACTTCAACCTGCCTGCCCCCCGCTGCTTCTCTGCAGCACCCTGAGCTCCCTCTCGCCGTGTACCACGTTTCTGGAGAGTTTGCCATGCTGTGGCATGGAGCCCAGGCCGGAGCGTTTGATCTCAAGGCTGCTGTACTGGAGGTCATGACTGCCTTCCGCAGAGCAGGTGAGCAAGCAGGGGTGGGAGTTTTTGACATGTGCCGCAGGGACTGATAAGCACTTTGACCAGATGGGGAAATAAAGTCATGAGACAGCCTGGAGTCTCATGCCTGGAAATGCCAGAGATCTAGACAGGCTGGGGAAGAGACATGAAACCGCAGGACAGAATGTGGAACAGTGAAGCACGCAGAGCCCTCTATTATTTTTTGGTTTTGAGACCTTGGCCAAGCCACTTCTCTAACTTCAGTGTCCTTGTCTATGAACTAGGGATAAGATAGCTGGTGCGTGGTTGTCAAGAGGATTAAATGAGATGCTACGTGTAATTGGCGTATGCTTGTCACTTCATAAATGCGAGCTGGTTTTGTTGGTAAAGCATACAGCGTGGGGAGGGAACTCACAGCTTACCTGTTTCCCCCACTGTGCGGTCTTATACATTGGCAAACTGAGGCCCAGAAGGAGAAAATGCCTTCCCCGAGGTCACACAACGTACAGAGCTAGGACTCACCGGAACTGAACTCAGTCTTAGGTTGTGACACCCGTGGGCTGTGCCTCTTCATGGTAGCCTTCTTCCCACCCCCAGCCCTCATCTCCCAGAAGGTATTCCCCGAGCTGACGCCCTGCCCTCCCCCTGCTTCCCGCCTCTCTCCCAACACAGGTGCCGACGTCATCATCACCTACTACACGCCTCAGCTATTGCAGTGGCTGAAGGAGTGATGGAGAAAGTGTGCAAGACCCCAGAACTAGAACTTTTAAATTCCTGAGCCTTGGAGAAGTGAAAACCAAAGTAAACGATGCTTTTAGAACTGTGTGCTCGTGCCCTCTTCCTGCTTACGCGCTGGCAGGTGCCCAGAAGCCCTGGGTGGTTTCTGCCAGAGTGCCAGATCTTCCCACTCACAGCCACATCCTCATGGGCTCTCCTAGGCTTCCCTACCCCTCCCCTGGGTCAACCCTGAGGCTCACCTCTGCCACCCCAGCTCCTTCCTCAGGGGTGGCTTCAGCTTGAAAGCCACCAGGCATCATGGGCGTTGGCTCAGTGGGGCCTGGGAGAAAGGCTTGGAGCATTAAAGGAAAAGGAGGGCAGTTGAATCTTGGACCCGCAGAAGCTCTGGAGAGCTCAAGGCCTCTGGCAGCAGAGCTGGGCACACTGGGACTCAGGCTTACATTGACACCCTGGGTTTAGAGTTAAGACTTGCTGCGATTCCACTAGAAGGCGATTCCCACACAGGCCAGTGCTTGCCAGGCTGCCTGAGATCTCCTGTTGTTCTCTGAGCCATAAACCCAGAGAAGAATTACTCATTAACGAGCAGAAAAGAATTATTCATTAACAAGCAGGAACGCTGCCTAAGGATCGAAATTCGGAAGCAAAGAGAGAGTTCCTGACGGTTGGAGATGCCACCACCAAAAAGGATTTTTATTGAAGAGGTGTTTTTTGAGAAGGTCTGCTTTGTGCCCACACACGATGCTGGGTCCTGGGGGTATAGCAGGACAGACCTCAGCTTGTCTCTGAGTGGAATCTATACAAGGAGAACAGGGGTGACAGAAAACAACAAGAAAACAGACAAGGCAGTTATACATTGTAATAGTGCTTCTAGGGAAAGAAAGGGTCTGAAACAGAGAATAACAGATGATGGGCCTCACTTGAGGAGCCCTCCATGAGGTTGAGGGACAAGAAAAGACCCTTACAGAGGGCAGAGGGAAGCAGACACCAGAAGCTGCGAGAATGACGGAGTGCACAGGCTCCTGCAGTGGGAGGGGCTTGGCAGGGCCGCTGGGAGCCAGATGAGGAAGAGGAAGGTGGGCTGCAGGACTGGAGGTTGGAAAGGTATATCCTGCACCTTGTAGGAAACTTGGGTTCTATTTTGCATCTGATAGAAGGCCATCTGAAGGATCTTAACCAGGACTTACATGTGTTCCAATTTCCCCCATTCTGCTCCTGTGAAAAAAGTGGAGGGGTGAGGGGCTTCCCTGGTGGCGCAGTGGTTGAGAGTCCACCTGCCGATGCAGGGGACACGGGTTCGTGCCCCGGTCCAGGAAGATCCCACATGCCGTGGAGCGGCTGGGTCCGTGAGCCATGGCCGCTGAGCCTGCGCGTCTGGAGCCTGTGCTCTGCAACGGGAGATGCCACAACAGTAAGAGGCCCACGTACCGCAAAAAAATAAAAAATAAAAATGGAGGGGTGAGCCAGAAAAAGCCTGGTCGGGAGACTGTTGGTGACCCCCCTGGAGCAAAGACAGTGGCCTGGACCAGGGTGGTGGCAGTGGAGAGAGAAGGAAGCAGAATATATTCAGAATACATTCTGGAGATAGAATAAGAAGATTTTCCTGATGTTTTCACATTGGGGGGATTGAGGGAGGGAATGGGAGGCAATAGAGATGCCTTCATGGGTTTCTGGCTTGGGCAGCTGGTTTCCATTCATTCTGAGGGTGACGCGACGTAATGTTTCCCCCCAGTGAAAGTTCAGGCCCAGCTAAGGAGGCGCCAGTTTGCAAGTCCACCTGTCTGCAAAGTGACAGAATCTCAACTCTAGAGTCAAAGCAAGGTTAGTTTGGATGTTATAAAATTTGGAATTATATGAGTCAGAAGCAGCTCCCCTCTAACTCCTGCTAGTTTTCCCCAGAGCTGTGGCCGACTTAACTGAAGATCTGATCTCATTCTGTCCTCAGCCTTTGGGACTTGAAGAGTCACCTAGAGGCCCGAAACATTCATGGGAGATCAGCCATTGATGGGTCTCAGGGCTTGGGCCACACCAGACCCTTCCGCCACCTTAGTTTCTTGGCTTCCTGGCCCCTGGCCCCTGAGCTCATTTCTGGTTAGTGTGGAAGGGAACATCCTTCAAGGCCATCCTACATTCATCATTGCCAAGCACATATGGGGGCCTGGCTCTGTTCTAGGCACATGGAGATGGGAGATAGACACTGCCTTTTAGGTACAAACAGCCCTCAGGGAGCACATAACTGTGTCGAGAGCCCCCGGGGTAAACTTTCAGTGGAGTGATGATGATTCTCCCTGAGGAAAACCAAGAGGCGGACCTGTTACCAATGATGTGACAGGTGCTGTGAAGGCCACACCTGGCCTGACCTGGTTTGAAGATCAGAAAATACTTCCCCGAGGGTCTGATATTTAAACCTAGACCTGGAGAATGAGCCACCAAGCTGAGACATGTTTAGGGAAGGGCATTCCCGGCAGAGGGAACCCTGGGGCTAAAATGAGCTGGAAGGCTGGCGTGGCTGGAACACAGGGAAGGATGGGGAAGAGAGGCCTGAACTGAGCAGAGAGACACCAGGGCCAGACCGTGCAGGAGTTCAGAAGCCATGCTGAAGGAAGATGGAGAGCCTTCTCATTATTCCCGGAGAAAGGGAAGCCATCTGAAGGCTTTTAGTCAGGGGAATGAGTGGCTCTTGATTTGCATTTTATAAAAGCATTTTGACAGCACTGTGGCAAAGTGCAAATAAGAAATGTGACCTAGACTGAGTGGTGGCAGTGGGGACGGAGAAGGGAATGGATTTAGAAGGTAGATTAGATGTCAAGGACGAACTTGGCTTGAGCTCCTGGGTAGCTGATAGGCCATTTACTGAGGTGGGAAAGCTTGGAAGGGGAATCCTAAATTGAGCTTGGGTTTGCAATGAGGAAGCTCTATCGACAGAGTTTATGTGACTCTCCCAAGGCCACTCAACAAGTTTGTGGCAGAACTGGGTCTAGAACCCCAGTCACCAAAAACAGCAGAGCTGGGATTTGAACTCACATAGCCCAACTCCAAGGCCTCTACCCTTACCCACTGTGCCATACCACCTCCTAATAAACTAACAAAATTATGGCCCTAACATTATGCTATTAGTAGTTCCAGTAATGGGATCAAGGTCTATGTGAGTGGCACCCTCTGGAGTCAGGACTCGGCACCTGAGGTAGCAGCCTACTGTCTGCTCCACCCCCACCCCACTATGCTTTGTCTACAAAGGCAGTAATGACCAGGCAGGCAGCTGGAGGGATCTGGGTGGTCCTGGGGGGCCTGGCTCCTCCACAGTCCCCGTCTCCTGCTGTGTGCCTTCTTTTTGCGAGTCGTAATTTTATCTTTGGGCAGAGAACTCAGTTTTTAACAATCAATAAGACATTTTATTCTCAGATTTCCAGGCATCTGGTGAGCATTAAGGGCCTCTCTCAACAAGATTTGATTTTTTTATTTCCCTCTCAGATGTGCCAGCGTGGATGGTAGCTTGTCTCTGGGACATCCTGAAGGCCACCACAAATAGCTTACACATTCCATCGTCCTCACTTTTTGTTTCTCTAAGATCCCTAAAACTGGGCTTCCCTGGTGGTGCAGTGGTTAAGAATCCACCTGCCAATGCAGGGGACACGGGTTCGAGCCCTGGTCCAGGAAGATCCCACATGCCGCGGAGCAACTAAGCCTGTGCGCCTCAACTACTGAGCCTGCGCTCTAGAGCCCTTGAGCCACAACTACTGAGCCCGCGTGCCACAACCACTGAAGCCCGCGTGCCCTAGAGCCCGTGCTCCACAACAAGAGAAGCCACCGCAATGAGTAGCCCATGCACCACAACGAAGAGTAGCCCCCTCTTGCCACAACTAGAGAAAGCCCGTGCGCAGCAACGAAGACCCAGAGCAGCCAAAAATAAATAAATTAATTAATAAATTAAAAAAAAAAAGGTCCCTAAAACTACCTCAGTGGGCCTATGGTTGAGGGTCCCCCAAAACAACAGGCATTTTAACCAAACATTTTACTACTAATTTCCCAACTAGGGAAGGGGGAGTCCTGACCTATTATATGCCCCATGTGGACTCTGCCGGCCAATTCCACATATCAGGGCCTGTGACTTACAACACCCTATATTCTGCATTGTTCTGGGTACTCTTGGTTGCCAGTGACAGAAACTTAATTCAGTAACAAAAAAGGAAGTAATTGGTTTCCATAATTGGGCTGTAATAAGGTCAAGTGTAGCTGGATCTAGGGTCAAAGGCTCTCATGGAGACCTCTGTCCCTTCCTAGTTCTCGTATGTGTTTGCCTCAGCTTGGCTTTATTCTAAAATGGGCTTTTGCCACTTAACAGCAACATGATCCTTAGATGGTCCTTAATCCCAGAGAAAGATCCTTTCTATCCCATTATTCACATAGCAAATCTCTGGAGGTCTCTGATTGGCCCTGCTCAGGTCACATAACCAGCCTCTCCGTTCAGTCCCTATAAACAATGGAATGGGAGATGTGGCACCATGATTGACAAGGTCTCCCTCCTTACACAGACAGCTGGTGGGATCTCAGAGCTTTTGCACCTGTGGTCGTCCCCTTTGCCAGGAATGCTTTCTCCCAAAATCTGTATGGCTGTTTCCTTTTCATTGTTAAGATCTTGGTTTAAGTGTCACGTCCTCAAAGAAACCTACCCTGACACCCAATTTAAAGTCATTCCCCCGTCACCCTGTGTTAGTCAGGATTCATGTGTAGTAATTATAACAAAAGCCAAAATAACGGTAACTTAAGATGGAAATACGTTTCCCTCTAAGTAGTCCAGGCTATGTCAGCTATATGGGGTGGTGGGTCACGGCTCCTGCCTCGTTCTGTCATCCTCAACACATCTCCGCTTCTATCTCGTGATCATAGATGGTGGGTCCAGTTCCCACCATCAGGTCCTCTTTTCAGTCAGCTGAAAGAGGAGAAGGGCAAATGGAGGGCATGACGCTTCTTTACAAGGGTCCAACCTGAAAGTTGTACACACCATTCTGCCCTTGTCTGAACTTAGTCACAGGGTCACACCTAGTTGTGTAAGGGAGGCTGGAAAACAGAGCCTGGCGGGGCAACCCTGTACTCAGCTAAAACTCAGGGGCTCAATTACTAAGGAAGATGGAGAGAATAATTCAATTACTAAGGAGATGGATATGCGGGCAAATGGCCATTCCCAACACATGGAGTTTCTTGTAATCACGGAAACAGTGCTCAGACTATCAAAGTAAAGAGGTCCTTAGTAACCTAAGTAACCACTTAGGTTACTAAGTAACCACTCTAATTCTATAGATGAGAGACAGACTCAGAAAGGGGACTTGTCCAACTTCACACAAGTCAGTGGCAGACCAAGGCTGGATACAGGTCTCCTAACTCCAAACCCAGTGCTCAAAAGTCGGGGAGGGATTGCAAGGGGTAGTGGTGAGGGATTACTTTTAGAGGGACTTTCTCCTTTTATGTATTACCTTAGCTTGAAGTGCATTTTTATATTCATGTATTTTATCTAACAAGGATATATTCATGTGTTATTCATGTAAATTAAGTGAAAACTTGGCCAATACACATGAAAAGGTGTTATCTTCACTAGTCAACGGAGAAATTAAAATTAAAACCATAATGAGATTCCACCATACATCTATCAGAATGCCTAAAATTTTTTAAAAAATAGACAATGCCAATTTTTAAAAAATTAATTTATTTGGGCTTCCCTGGTGGCGCAGTGGTTGAGAGTCCGCCTGCCAATGCAGGAGACACGGGTTCGTGCCCCGGTCTGGGAAGATCCCACATGCTATGGAGTGGCTGGGCCTGTGAGCCATGGCCGCTGAGCCTGCGCGTCCGGAGCCTGTGCTCCGCAACGGGAGAAGCCACAACAGTGAGAAGCCCGCGTACCACAAAAAAAAAAAAAAAAATTTATTTATTTATTTTTGGCTGCATTGGGTCTTCCTTGCTGTGCGCGGAAGTTGTGGTGAGCGGGGGCTACTCTTCATTGTGGTGCACGGGCTTCTCATGGCGGTGGCTTCTCTTGTTGTGGAGCACGGGCTCTGGGTGCGTGGGCTTCAGTAGTTGTGGCACGTGGGCTCAGTAGTTGTGGCACGTGGGCTCAGTAGTTGTGGCTCAAGGGCTCTAGAGCGCAGGCTCAGTAGTTGTGGTGCACGGGCTTAGTTGCTCCATGGCACGTGGGATCTTCCCGGACCAGGGCTCAAATCCATGTCCCCTACATTGGCAGGAGGATTCTTAACCACTGCACCACCAGGGAAGCCCAACAATGCCAATTTTTGAGACTGTGGAGCAAGTGGAATCTCACACGACTGGTACAACCACTTCAGAAAACTTGCCCCATCTACTGAAACTGGACATGCACATATGTATAGCCTAGTGATTCCACATCTAGGGATTTACCCAACAGAAATGTGTACACATGTGACCAAAAGATGTGTGCAAGAATGTCCATAGCAACATTTTCTAATATTTGTAATAACCAAAAACTGGAGATAACCCAAATGCCCATCAACAATAAAATGTGGGGTATTCATATAATGGAATATCACAGGAAGGAGAATGAATGACCTGTAACTACTCAAAGCAACGCGGATGAATCTTACAACTAAAATTTTGAGCAAAGGAAGCAAGACAAAAGAGTGCATGCTGTATTATTCCATTTAGATACAGTTCAAAGACAAGTATAACCATGAATTTGGAAGTCAGCGTAGTGGTTCCCCTTCATGGGAGTAAGTGACTTGGAGAGGACAGGGACACCAGGGTTCTGGAGATGTTCTTTTTCTTGGTCTTGGTGCTGACTGCATAGGTATGTTCACTTCATAAAAATTCAAGGACACATACACTTCTTTGCACTTTTCTCTATGTATATTTTAATAAAAGTTAAAAAATAAGTAAATGAAATTTGATTTTTTTTTCTTTTTTTTTTTTTTGGCCACGCCACGCAGCTTGCAGGATGTTCCCTGACCAGGGATTGAAGCCGCATCCTTGGCAAGCATGGAGTCCTAACCACTGGACCACCGGGGAATTCCCTAAATGAAATTTTAAAGAGAGAGAGATGTGTGTGTGGTGGGCCCAGCCTGGGTTTACTTAGTGCTTTTGGATGAGAATCTCAAGGAAAAAGCCCTCATGTAAGAAGCTTGGTTTCTCAAAGAGAAATAACCTAAGCCAGTAGCCAGTATTGTGACATGCCAGGTCCCTCCAGGAGCAATCACCAGGCCAGAGTCCACACAGGGTAGATCAAAGGATGAAACCCCCTAGGAATTTGTCATCTGCCTTAGGAAGGAAACTATACCCAGGAAGTGGACCCATTTTTGAACTGACGAATCAAAAAGAAGCTTGTTTCAAAATAGCAGGACCTCTCATTGGCTTTCCTGTGACATGCAAGGCTCCCTTTTCTCAGCTGAAAAAGTTACTCAGAGAAAGAAAGGCCTGGAGTCAGGCTCTCCATTGCCAGCCAAGGTCTGAGACTCTGACCTTTGTGTTTCCTCACAGGCCTGAGCCCAGTGAGGGTAAGGCAGTTCTGAATGAAATGAACAGACCAGCCTTGGCATATAGGAGGATGTTTTGTTTTTATTTTTAAAAAAATGGGGGGGGTGGAGGGAAGGAAGAAAGAAGATTGCATGCATATTTGTGTGCTCCTAGAAAAATGTCTGATAGCATAACAACCAAAACTGCAGCAATCCCTGGGAGGTGGTTGGGAAATGGGGAGGCCATTGCCCTTGCTCAGCTGTACTTGTCCTTAAGCTTCACCTGGCTGCCATTCAGATCTTTTGCTCCTCCCCTAACTGGTTCATCCAAAGAGGTCCCTCGTCACTGCTCACGAAACCATTGTTTTCTACCTCCATAGCTCTTACCACTTCTGAAACCTTGATTTTTGTCTGCCATGCCATGTTGCATGAAGGCAGGAACCCCGTCTTATTTCTCGCTATATCCTCCGTGACGAACAGGGTCAGGCACAGAGTAGATGTTCAATAAGCAGTTAGTGAATGAATGAGGTTGGGCTTTTGCTTTTCACTTTGTACACTTTGTATTTTCAAACATTTTTGAGATGAACGACAACTTTTTTTTCATCAAAAGTAAAAAAAAATCGGCAGGTTACTGCAGAGGACTCTACCCTCAGCAAATTGTCTTGGGTTAAGACAGGTTTCCACCTGAAAGCAATTCCCTCCTAGTACCGACGGGGGACTCAGACCAGAGAGGGGCAGTGCCTTGCTCAAGTTTACCCAGCACTCAGCAAGCCAGGCCGGGACCCAAATTCCCCCCTCCCAAATCAGACTGGTTACCTCCGGGGAGTGGGGGGCGGTGTCCGGATCCTTGGGAGGAGGAGTGGGTCTTCAGAAGGGGCAGAGAGGGTCACGGCAGGGACGGGGAGGGTAAAGGAGCACGGTGAGGGGGGACTAGAGTTCCGGGTTGAGGAAGGTGAAGTTGCAGCGGGAGCGAGCGGAGAGCACAGAAAGAAGTGGAGGGGGCGGGGCGGGGCGAGGCGTGGCGTAGGGGACGGGGCGAAGCGTAGGGGGCGGGGCGAAGCGTAGGGGCGGAGCGAGGCGAGGCGGAGGGGGCGGGGCGAGGCGAGGCGGAGGAGGCAGGCGGAGTGCTGGAACACGGGAGAAGAGGGTCGCCGCTGAGCTGCTGCCCCCTTTCCCGAGCGGGCGTGCGGCTGCGGCTTCTTTCTTGACCGGCTTCCCCGCGAGGCAGGTGGGTCGTGTGCCCCGGGGACTGGCGCGGGAGGTTCCGCTGCATACCGCAGGGGTAGAGATGTCGCTCTAGCAGAAGGCTACCTGGACTTTGGCCTCACCGAACCCTGGAGGTGGGGAGGGAGAGTGAGCAATTCAGGCCTGCAGCCAGAGGCCCCAACTTCGGCTTCCAGAAATGGAAAACGCTGTGGGCCCTTTGTTCTAGTCTTAGCTATGCCTGTGGCTCCCTGCGTGACTCCGGACGAGTTCCCTACCCTCTCTGAGCCTCCGTCTACCTATCTGCAAAGTGAGAGGGTCTTTGGACGGGTCTCCCTAAGTTCCGGACTGACTTAAATTCATTTCCTTGACAAACTTCCTCTAGGGCTTGTCCCCAGATTCACCAGCCAAGTCCGTCCCTCAGCAACAACTTGGCAGCACTCCGAACTTTGGCCCCTCAAGTTTTAGCTGAACAGGTTGCGTGTCTGGAATCAGTTCCGTCTGGGGCAAGAAGCTGCGTCCAGCCTCTAGACTTTAGGCTGAGGAATTTGTTTTCTGTGCACTGGGTCAGTAATCCTTCACTGGCTCTCCACCCAGGCAGGCATCATCATCTGGGGCTGAGAGAGGCTTTAAGACAGGTAGGAACAGGCTGCTCTGTCCTGCCTTTTGTCCTGGGCTGTACAGGTTCACTAAAATAAGATTTTTTTTTTTTTTTTTTTTTTAATCCAAGTACGTCTAAGCAGTGGAAGGGAGTACTGGCCAGAGAATGTGGAGGTTTGGGTTCTAGTCCTGGCTGTGCCGCTGGCTGGCTGTGACCTTAGGCAAATATCTGCCCCTCTCTGGCTCAGTCTTTCCTGGCTGAACAGTCAAGGGGTGGGTCAGATGGTCTGCAAAGACTCTGCTGTCATTCACATTCCGAACAATAGTAATAGCAGTCATAATAATTGTTTCCTTAGCTGACCTACGAGGCCCTGCCTGAGCTGGCCCCTATCTACCCAAAGCACCAGACTCCTTGCCCTGCCTCAGGGCCTTTGCACTTGCTGTTTCCAGTGCCAGGAATATTTAATCATCTCCATTTCCTGAATAGGCTTTCTCAGATCTCCACTGACACGTCACTTGCTTAGGAAGTTCCCCGACAACAAAGACTAAATCGGGTTTCTGGATTGATATCCTTCCTCATGGTACATGCTGTCTTCATTATGCTTAAGTATTCATGTAGTTCTTTGTCCGATAGCTGTATCCCCTGTTCTTTAATGCCTGTGCATGCCATGAGGCCTAGAAATCTGTCCCTTTCCCAACATCTAGCACATAATAGGTGGAGTGAACAGATAATCTCATTTAGTCCAACAGTCTTATGAGGTTGAGTCACTGTGCTCGTCTTACACATGAAGAGACTGGGCTTCAGAGAGCGACACTCTTAGGGTCACACAGTGAGTTGGCAGTGTCAGAATTTGAACCCAGTCTGTCTCAGACTCCGAGGCCTGAACTTCCACCTCACTTGCCCTCACACTCCAGATCTTCTGCTGTGAAGACGTTACCTAAGTGCCAGCAGATCTGACCCACGAAGCCTGGAAAGAGAAGACCATCAGGTTGTTGGGCACGGTGCCATCCGGCTCCACCTCCCATAGAGGCCCCCGGACCTGAGGCAGAGGCGGAAGTGGGGTGGCCTGGCCCCCCTCCTGCAGACCCATGGCGCGTCGGCTCCAGTTACAACTGCTGACGTGGGATGTGAAGGACACGCTGCTCAGGCTCCGCCACCCCGTGGGGGAGGAATATGCCGCCAAGGCCCGGGCCCATGGGCTGGAGGTGGAGGCCACGGCCCTGGGACAGGCCTTTGGGCGGGCATATAGGGCTCAGAGCCACAGCTTCCCCAGCTATGGCCTGAGCCGTGGCCTCACCTCCCGTCAGTGGTGGCTGGATGTGGTCCTGCAGACCTTCCACCAGGCAGGCATTCGGGATGCCCAGGCTGTGGCCCCCATCGCTGACCAGTTGTACGAGGACTTCAGCAGTTCCCGCACCTGGCAGGTGTTGGAGGGAGCTGAGGCCACCCTGAGGGGGTGCCGAAAACGAGGTCTGAGGCTGGCAGTGGTCTCCAACTTTGACCGAAGACTGGAGGACATCCTGGCGGGTCTTGGTCTGCAGGAACACTTCGAGTTTGTTCTGACCTCCGAGGCTGCCGGCTGGCCCAAGCCCGATCCCCGCATTTTCCATGAGGCCTTGCGCCTTGCTCAGGTGGAACCGGCAGTGGCAGCCCACATTGGGGACAGTTACCAATGTGATTACAAGGGAGCACGGGCCGTGGGTATGCACAGCTTCCTGGTGGCTGGCCCTGAGCCTTTGGACCCTGCGGTCAAGGATTCTGTACCCCAAGAGCACATCCTCCCCTCACTGTCCCATCTCCTGCCTGCCCTTGACCGCCTGGAGGGCTCACCCCCAGGGCTTTGAGTCTGGCGAGGGAAGCGGTCGGGCCCAACAGACACTGGAGACAGGGAGCTCCTTCCTTCCCTGAGATCTGGCCTTCACCCCCACCCCCCTGCAGCCTCCATAATGCATTCTGACTATAAAGCAGTGAATGCGGGGCATTCAACCCTGCACCACTAACCAGCTCCTGGTCTCTGAGATGCTTCATTCCTCACACCTGTGTCCATTTTCTACCATGAGTCCCCCCTCACCTCCAACAAGATTCATGAGGGCCCAACTAGCTTCAAAACCAACACTTTCAAACTTTCTTTTTAGCAGCAGGGCCTTTCGTCATGGGAGAGCTTATGTGGAACCCCAACATGCAAATCAGGAAAAATGAGAAACTGCTAGGGTTGAAGCAGAGGTCCTGGGGCCCTTCATTCAGGCCCTGAAGGCTCTGCGACTCTCCCCTGAGAAGCCTGAGATCAGAGCTTAGTACCTGCGGGTACTGGAGTTCTCATTTAGGCGTGCCTCACTCCGAAGCCCATTGGCTTGACTGCAAGGTTACAAGTAGAATGGGATCCATGTCACACAAGACATAATGCAGTGGGGATCCAGGGAGAATAGAGAAGGTGTCCTAAGGATGGCGGTCTTGAAGGGCACCCCAGTCATAGGAATAGCTTGGGGGTGGGAAAGCACAGGGAACGGGGACTGGAACACGAGGTGGCAGGAGTGCAGGGAATATGGGGGGAATCACTGGAGATTGAAGTAGGTTGGGCTTTTAAAATTCTATGTCTCTTCCTGCCTTTCCCCCTTCACACACCTCTCTACGTCGTATTTACTGGACACCTGTGCCTTGCCCAGTGCCAGGCACAGGGGGCACCACAGGTAAAAAGCACACAAACAGGCATACACAGTGTATGTTCTGGTGCCAACAGGCAGGGAGGGCTCTGGAGTGGACCCTGAGCTGGGGGTGGCCCGTAGATGGGCAGAGGGATAAGAGGGGCATTCCTGGCAGTGGGCCCACAAACTGTGGACTGAAGACTGCTGTGGGGAGTTGGACTGGTGGTTGGGGGAGCATGGCCTGGGGGCCTTTGGGTGCCAAGTAGAAGAAATTGGCTTTGACCCAGGTTTGAGCAGAGACTGTGCCCAGGCAAAGGCAGGGAAGCTCTTCTCAGACTTGGCCAAACCTCTTGTGGGTCTGTCTTCCTTGGGCTTGGTGCTGAGGCCAGGTGACCCAACATTAATTCCCAACTGTCGGGCAGTGAGGAGATGGGTCATGAGCTGTGGTTTCAGAGCTGCAAGGGCCTCAGAAGTCATGTCAAGTGAAAAAGTTGATTTGATCCACCCGGTGTTTCAAGTAAATTATTGAGCAAACTGAAGAGTGGGGAGGGCTCTGGCCCCCATCTTTGTTTTTGTTTTTGTTGTTTTTTGCGGTACACGGGCCTCACTGTTGTGGCCTCTCCCGTTGCGGAGCACAGGCTCCGGACGCACAGGCTCAGCGGCCATGGCTCACGGGCCCAGCCGCGACGTGGCATGTGGGGTCTTCCTGGACCGGGGCACGAACCCACGTCCCCTGCATCAGCAGGCGGACTCTCAACCACTGCGCCACCAGGGAAGCCCTCTGGCCCCCATCTTTGAGCCCAAGAGCCTTATAGGTAAGTTGCAGGTAAGATTGCCTTTGAACTGTGTTCCCAGATGAAACAAAATGGGAGGACCACTGTTCTAAAGTGACCTCCTCAGAGGACAGGAAGGGACTTGCCCTTGATCCCTGCAATGCAGGGCACAGAACCCTGTCTCCAGGCTCTTTCAGCTGTGTATGCTGAGCTGCCTCCCACCTATACCTGAGAACGTGGATGGGGGTGAGGAAGATATCCCTTTCCCAGCAAACATACCACTAAGATCTGAGCTGGCACCTGGGAGATATGCCCAATTACCAACAAAGAACATGGAAGAAATTTTCAATCTTTGAAAACCTTTAATAATGCACATGTTCCCTAAGGCTGGCCCTCTTACTCCCTCAGCCCTTTCTGGCTTGAAGGCCTCGCCTTGGTCCCCACATGTTAGAGAAGGCATTCGTTGGGAGCGCACGTCAGCTGCAGTTGGGGAAAAAGCCCATCCCTGTTGCCACGGGTGGGTGCTGGCTGGAGCCCTGCCTAGTCCAAGGCAGCACTGCCAGTGGGTGTGCCGCAGCCAGGCTACCTGGAGACAGGGTCCCCTCCGTCTTCCCAGTGGCTATGCAAAACCTGGGTGAGGACACAGCCCTACAGGCCGGAGTCCTCTGGCCAACAGCAGCCTGGCAGGAGTTCTAAATCCCTTCCAGGTTGTCCTTGTGCTAGAAAAATATTTCCTCTGTATGCCATGTCATGAAAAGGACTGAGAAACACTGAACTGAGGGGATGACAGGGCTTCAGCCACAGGCTTTTCTGCCAGAGAACGGCATCTACTGGGGGCAGTGCTGCTCCAGAAGAGTCTACCACGTGCATCCAGTCACCTGTCCATCCATCCATTCATCCACCATCCATCCGTCCATACGTCCACTTGCTGGCCAAATATTTATCGCACGCTTACTATGCACCAGGTACCATGCTGGATGCCAGAGAGAAAGTGGTGAACAAGACACCCTCAGAGGGGCAGATGCACAGTGCATTTGGGAAACCAAGGCCCAGGGAGTAGCAGGTTCCCCACAGATACCTGGCTTTTAATGGTTGTACCCAGAACCCCTCCTAAAAGCTGCCCATTGGGCACAGGCAACATCTGGGAAAAAGACACTGGGTAGAAATATGGCCTGAAAGGGTGCTGGGGAGGTAGACCTGGTCTCCCCATGGCTAAAGGTCAGCGGACGATGGAAATGGTCTGGTCAGCCACAGCAAAGACTGGGAAGAGGGGCCCAGGGAAGGACGCGTGGTGGGTGTGGAGCACCGTGCCCGAGCCTGCCTCGTAGAATAGCAGCTCCTGTGCCTGCAAGTCCAGCAGCACCCCCAGCTGAGCTGGGCAGCGCAGCAGTGCCAGGGGCTCGTGCTGCCCATCGTGTGAGAAACGGAACTCCTGGTCGTAGCGGGAGAAGACCCAGGAGAAGGCATTGTAGCCCAGACGAGAGTCACTGCCAGAACCCTTGCGGGGCAGCTGGCCTAAGGCCACACCCACCTTATAGGCACAACTGTTCTCGACGTTCACCGTCCAGGCATGCAGCCCAGCCTGGAAGGAAGTGGTGGCCAGGGCATTGGGCCAGTGGTCAAAGCGCTCCGGGCCATCTGCACAGGTCTTGGACTTCTTGGCGTTGAAGGTCAGGGTCCTTTGATCATCTGACAATTGCAGGAAGGGGCTGACAGTCCTCTCGTTGATACGCACGTCCTCCGTGCCTGCCAGAAAGAATTCTCAGACTTGCCCAAGGCCCACCCTCAGCCCTAACCTGGCCCTGCCACGTAGCAAAGGGCTTCCTCACCACTCACTGGCAGATAAGCCATTTACTCTCTGAGCCTCAGATTCCTCATCTGTAAAATGGGGATCAGAATAGGACTTATCACAGGGTGGATGTGAGGATCAAATGAGGTGATGCATGTAAAGTGCCAAGCATCAATAAGTGCTCAATAAATTGTGGCCATGACCACAGTAGTTATTAATAGTCCAAGACCCTCATCTGTTAACTTTGATAGATATAACCCAGAGAGGAGAAGCGAGTTGCCCGAGGTCACACACCAAGTTGGTGGCAGGGGCAAAATGACGACCCAGCATGTTGTTCCTACATTTAGCATCTAACACTGATCATACCGCATTCTAGTTGGGCATATCTGCAGTTTCCAGATCAGACTTGTCCTAGCGACACGGTTCCTGGAGGCTTGGAAGCATCAGATATGCGGTTTCCTACAACTACCTAAATGGGACTGCTGGCAGATCCGGCACTATTGGATACCAGAATCTAGAGATGAGCTATAGCTTGTACTAACGTTTTAGGGATAACGTGCAGGGAGGGAGGATTAAAACTGAGAAAAATTCAATCCATTAACCTAACCTTTCTGTGAATTGTGAAAATACCACAACGGGCAGTGTGGGAGCTTCCATCTAGCTTGGGGGAAGCCTGCTTTGAGAACCCTCCCACTCGGGGAATTCCTGGAGGCAGGAGACCATGTTAGCTGGCCTGATCAATGTTAAGTTAGTAAGTGAGACGAATCTGGGAAGCTCAATTCTCACTCAAGATGCTCTCCAGTTGCCCATCAATTATATCTTCTTAAAGAGAAACTAGGTTTCCAAGAAATAATACTGAGCTCTTGCACTAGGGCAGGACTTAAGGAGGACGTAATTTCCAGGAACAAGATTTATCCCAGACCCAAGCACAGAGCAGGCTGGTCTGGAAACAGGGAGGACCTGGCCCAGCTGCCCCAGGCCTGTCCAGAACCTTGACTCCATAGACAAGCCTGCATCCAGTATCACTGGTTGCTTAACCGCAGATCCCAGATGCACCAGTCCCCACTGTGACCCAGCAGCAAACCCCAGACAGACAGACAGAAGCCCAGTTACTCCAACTGGTGCCAGGCTCCAGCAGCTCCTAACCTGAGAGGGACCCGAGAACGGCTGTCGCCCAGAGCTGGGTCAGTAGTGGGCTGCGAGTGCACTTCTCATTAAAGTTTAACTTTTCCGACTCCTTGGGATCCAAAATGCCCTCTGCTTCCTCCGTCCTTATGCAGGGAAAAAAAAAAAAAAAAAGAGATTTAGGAAGGTTCTGGAAATGTATCTGGATCAATACAGGATGGGGACAGAAGTCAAATCCTCTTCCCACGAGGGTGACACAAAGAATGGCAGCCAGGCCCCACATAGGAGCCCCCAAAGGGGGGTGGAGCCAAAAGAGAAGGTGGGCATTCCCTCTATGCCCTGGAGCCTTAATTCCAGCAAGGCACACGGTTTACAGGGAGGTAAATACTTGGTGCCAGTATTAGAACTTGTAGTCAGTGTGTTCTATGGGGGAAGCAACTTGCCAGTGTCTCTGGTGAGTTAGCAGCAGAACTGGGAGGAGGACCTGAGCCTCTTGTGCCGTAGTCTTTCCGCTCCACCGACCTGCGTGGAGAAAATTTTGCCTTCCTACAAAACCTATTGCAGCAAAATCTACTGGTGTGGTCAGAAGGTAGAGCCATTCCTCTCCTCTTAAAATGCAAACAGCCCCGAAGGGTCACGCAAGAAGGAACTATCAGTGATCACCCCAACCATAAAGTAGTCATAGCACTTTGCTCCCAATAACTACCTCTATTCAGCTCACAGGGGGGACTGGGTTTTGTTGGAAGGGATTTGGGAACATAAGATGCTTAGGGGGGGAGTACTGCCATTTATTAAGCAGCCAGGCTCTGGGCTTGCTGTTTTCTATAGAGAATCTCATATGATCTTTGCTATAACCTGGGAGGCAGCTGTTATTCCATTTGACAGGAAAGAACGGAGATTCAGAGAAAGCACCCAAGCTAAAAAGAAGACCTGGATTCAACTGTTGCCTCCATGCAAAAACAGAACAAACCCAGGCTGGGATCCAGGCACCATTCAACATAATCCTTCCCCTGACTTGAAGTAAAATCTGAAGGGGTGTGGGGCAAAGTGAGGGTTCGCCACAGGGCTTCACAGACCTCTGAACTGGCTTCTGAGAAAGCCAGTTTGGGTAGGGAGAAAAAGCTCCCAAATGAGAATGTTTATATTTGCCTAAAGATGTCTTTAACAATATACAGTATGCTTTAGGCCTGGCCTATATAATGATTGTATGCCAGGAAAACAATTAGACTCAAATCAGTGATGTTCTTTCTCTTGGTAGTTAAGACATATCAAAGATTAAAATTGTCCTGTGTTTCTCGTTTCAATGTACATGTGTGTGTGACGTCTTAAATGTTTTAATAGTCCACAGCTAATCAGCTTATGTATACTGTATGTATAATGAGAACAATGTCTTGTGTTTTCATCCTTTATGAATTCACAATTCTTACCTGTTCTCTTGTCATAACAAAACCAGTAATATTTTCCTGTCTTGACAGCTTGATTTTTAGTAGAAAATATATTAAAAGCGGGGTTCTCATTGCAGTGGCTTCTCTTGTTCCCACTGTCTCTAATCCCAAAGATGGCCTTTGAGCTCAGGCAGCAGAGAAGTGACAGCACACACTCTCTTCCCCAAATCTTGTGGCTCTGTCCATAAACAGAGGATGGGGGGAGAGGGTGGGGCATGTCTCCTCATAGATGTGAGCTCTTTTTTTTAAGACTGACACTGACTGCTCTGACTTGGGAGGAGCGAGGTTAACAGAGCCCTAGAAAAGCTGAAAGCAGGCTTTGGTTACAAAGGCTCCTTGTGGTCAGGACAAGAGAGGCTCTGTTGCCATCTCCTCAAAGCACTGAGGCTGGCTCTGGAGAATCCCCAGCCAACAGGTGAGGAGGAAATAGGAGCTGGAGTCAGCCGTGCTAAATCATCATCAGAG